CGGCAATCGTTCACCGACAACTTGGTACTATAATTTGATTCAATTGAAATTCCACTACAAGGCACGCTACATTCTGATAAATAAATGTGCATTTAATTGTACAATACTATTTATTATTTAGAAATGTTTTTTTTTAATCAGTCTCATTTAAACGGATTTAATGAAGCTGTTTGTCCCAGTGGGTTATTATAACTCATTATACCTACGTCTGAAACGCTGTTAGAGAGCGTCTCATGTATCCTAATTTTCTGAAGATTAGAGGAAGGTAGCATCCAACTTAATTGCGTTGTGAGCAAACAGAACTTTATCTCTGTGCACACTAATTGGACGCCAAACATTAATAAAGGAAATCGGGCAAAACGCTAAAGCTCAGTAAAATTCAAGTAAAAAATGTTTTCCCACTTTGACCACTGATTTATGATTTATCATACATTTTCAAAGTCATAATGTAACGCAATATAATCTCATTGATTAAACCTTCTACTTTCATTATTTACAATGGAGCATTTTGAACACATTGTGGTTAATATTAAGTACCTACCTATTACAAATTATTAATTATTGCACATTACTTGATTTCATCAATTGAAATAATAACAGTAGGTATGCATTTTACATAATAATAATAACATGAACATCGGATATTTAAAGTTTTTATGTTCATTTTCAATAATATTGTTAACGAAATAGATTTATCATAATGGTATCCAATTTAAATGGTTTGTTTTTTAAGGAATAATTTTAAAAAAAAAACATTTTTATTGACATTTAATTTTAATTTTTAAAAATCTTCTATCCGCAATACCTATATTAATGTAGTCATACGTTTACAAGCAGATACGATTTTAGTATAAATCAGAATTCCAACTTAAAATGTGTATTTTTGGTAATTTTTATTTTGAATCTTCACAAATACTTGTAGTCGTACTTGGTACCTAATTGACAAGGCTGGGCGTTAACGACTTAAAATGTTAATTTAATAACTAGTTACTTTTGGCTTTTCATTAACTTAACAGTTAACTTACAAAATTTCTTTTTTAACTAACGTGAACTTAACGAATTCATTTTTCATTTTAAGAAGTACTTAAGTTAAGTTAATTTATTATGTTTTTAATTATTGTATTATATTTCACTATTTCAGTCCATTTCGTTTTCATGTCAAAAGCGATTTACCGTGAATCGTTTAAAGTTAAAAATGTATATCATTCGAATCTAACTGATATGGAAAATGTACTGTATAAACTATAAAGTATAAACACTATAGTCTATAATTCAGTTTTGGGCTGGAAAAAAATTAAGTACGCTAGCGTTGTATAAACAAATAAGCTTTTTTTTTAACTTAATAAAAAGTTATCAAGAAGTGTGTATTAATTTTTAACTTATAACATTTTGTTATTGGTGCATATTAACATAACTTAACTGAGTTAAAAAAAATCATTAACGTTCCCAGTGTCTTGCTAATATATTATAATATATTATGTAAGTACTTATATTATATGAATATATTTTACTTTCTTGATTTTTAATCAAGTAAGTATGGTAATTGAAATGAAAAAATTCTGGATTTTGAAAACTTCTAAAATTTGTGTTAAATAAAAAAATAATAAAAATGTAACTCAGTAATGATGAGTAGGTGGGTAATTTAGCTAGCTTTAATAAAAAATATTAATGAGAGAGATTTGATATCACACCCAAGAGTTATAACTTATAACCACTTCATCACAGTCCCGAAATTTTTATTTTTTAACTTTTATCCTAAACTCTGATAGCTAGAAAGTCGGTTGATAACTCATTAAAAAGGGATTATCATGTAGATACTAAATGTGGAATTAAAATTTAAAAAAAAAATTATTTAAAAAAAAGAGTTATTTTTTGATAGATTTTCATTTAGCGAGGTAGGTTTCCGAAACTGGAGAACGGAGTTTGTTGTTTCGGGTCTCGATGGATTCACATTGGCTTGGAGAAGTGCAGTGAAGATTTTCAGAACTTTATCTCTAATTGTTAATTCACTACAAACCTTTGAAGCTGAAAAACATAAAAAAACGCCCCATTAAATTTGTTTTAATTTTTTTTTAATGTTCTGTAGTGAATTAACTATTAAAGATAAAGTGCTGAAAATCTTCATTACACTTTTCCTAACCAATGTGAATTGAACAAGACAACAAACAAGAAAATCCGCTCTCCAGTTTTGGAGATCTATCTCACTAAATGAAAATGAAAATGATTTTTTTGGCTGTTCACACCGACATTTTTCTGGATTCAAATTGTTATACCGCTTGGGTGTGATATCAGTTAATAAATTTCTGATAATTTAAAATCAAGAAAGTTTACATGCCGATCACTGATTGGAAAGCGGTTTTATTATTAAATTATTGCCATTAATATTTAAACAGTATTTTACAATAGGTATTCGTTGTTATTTGTTATGAAAAAAAACTCATAGGGACTGAATACTTTTGTTTCTTGACTCTTAGACATTCACTTTGAGGTTAAAAATAAATTCCTTATTAATAATAAATAATAAAACATAAGAATCAGCTTATATATATATTTTACTATATTTAGCTTCATATTTAGTTAATAGATGACTTATTCATATCAATATATATCGATTAAAAGCTAAAGTTATTATTGTACTCGCTTATAACATAGTTTGTCAAACTTCATTAAAATGCAAATTTTGAACGCCATAGTAAATAAATACAAATTATTATCTTAAATTAAAAACATAGGTATCAAACATGTTTGAGACAACTTTTTTCAATAAGTACTCGAACGTTACAAATAATCATTATCTTTGGTTCATGTGTACAAAAGAAAGTAATGTTTTACATTAATAGGTAACCAAAAATAGAGCTCAAGTATCACACTGATTAAAGCATTAAGTATAATGTAATAATGTATACAAATATATAGTTTTTAGTATTTTTTAAGTATAAATATAAAACAATTTCTTGAACATTATAAGCATAATCTTTGCAATAATAATGGTGGTACTTATATTATTGTTTTGAATAAGTAATAGAAAGATTGCACCTACATTGGACGGCTTTATGTCGTTACACAAGTATGTTTAGAGTATACATGATTATTATATAGTACTTATATATATAGAATTAAAAAACAATGATTTTGGCTCGAACAAGAATAAGCTTACATACCTTACAATTATTGGACATTTGAATAATATTAATACCATTGAGTTATATTGTAACCACAATTGTTAAAACTTAATAATACCTATAATTACTTGGGTTCAATATTTTATATAAATACAAAAGTTCATAAATATTATATACGATTTCATAATAAAATATTTTTTGAACACAATGTAACGTGCTTAAATATGTACGCAAACAATTAAACGCGACGAAATCAAACAGACATAATAATATATAACGCAAATATAGTAATATACTTATATATTATATCATTAAATATATTCATATAAATTATTTTAAAATATCGTTGTACACTTTATCGTTGAAAATTAAGTACAATATTATTTATTTCATTGTACATATACAATAGTATGTTATGTATAACTCTATAAGTAATAGTAATAATTATATAAATGACAATCGTGTACGATTTCAACGATTTTAACAATAATAGTGGACATAATAAAACAACAAAAATTATAATACTACTAATAATAAAATCACCCCAAGTGCGACACTGTCGTCGGGGGGCGGTAGCGCGTTAGGAACTCCGAATCATCCAAAGCCGATAATATTATATATATTTTTTATTATGTACATAGTGCCGTTTTAAAAAGTAAAGTCCAACGTTTCTAAACGGATCGACCGTTATTGTCATAAAAAAAACCAAATGAATTTCATCGAAATAAAAAAAAAACGTTTCAACCAATTTGGGAAAAAAATCGTATTGAAAAATTACAACCAATCTGGTCCAATTGTTTTTAAGGGAAAATTATTGTTGTACTTAATTTAAAATGTACACCAAAAACTCCCCTAAAGGATATCTCTATGAACAACGGGCACCTCCAAATTGTGGACGTTTTTTTGGGAACAAACTACAAATTTTTTATAAACCGAACCCTTTGAATATCGGACACCTCCGAACAGTGGACAAAATTATATATCATTAGTTATTATAAACTATAATAATATTATTACAAAATGTGAAATATTATTTAGGTTCATAATGCATATCATTTCCAAAATAGTGTTTATGTATAACCATTTCCCAAGCACAATAAGATGTCGTCCACTGATTGTTCGAAATATTATAATTTTTCTACTCGCGTGTTCAAATACAACAAAGATAGTTTAGCATAATTTTATCTTTTATTTTTCGATTAAAAAAAGCTGTATTTAATGTTTATATTTAATTGGTCCAAACGATTCCTGTTCGGATTTTACATAGCAATTAATAATAACAATAATAACAATACAAATATTTATAATTATAGTTTGGTCAACGACGATGGTTTTTAATATTACAATACTATACCAAAACGTGTATGATAAAAATATTAGGATTTAGGCTGGGATTTTGATGCAATGTTTCTGATATTTTAAAATGTAGCTTCATAATTGGGAATTGTGTTATAAGTGTTACTGATTAGTGGTTAGGTAACTAAATCAAGTTAAATTTATATTATTTATAGATTATACTATTAATTTGTATACTGAAAAAAAAATCATCATTGTGCAACAAGTTTCCTTTATACAACTTTTGAAATGGTAAGAAATAAACTTTTGAACGCATTATATAGTGCATTTCTTAAGGCATTTTTGCATTTTTCCGGTGGATATTATTTTTCGTTTCATAGCCTCGTGGGGCATTAAAACCTCAGCCCTAATGATAATAAATGTAATGTTTTCGAGCGAGGCGATACGATTCGTTTAGTGGTTTCAAGTGTGTTACACGGCTACGGTGGCCGCGTAAAGTCACTCATGGTCGCGGGTCGTCGCCGCGGACTTCCGGGCTGGCCGCAATCTGTCCAGGAGGCCCGAGACGGCCGGCCACCTTGGTCACCCGTACGTGGGGTCGACGGTGAGTGACATGCGCTGGCCGCGGTCCACCCAGTTCTTCAGCCGGCCCCGGAGCTCTTCCAAAGACTTGGACTTGGCCTTGTTGATGCGCTTGTACTTGACGTCCTTCGGCTTGGTCACCGACCGGTGGTTGCTCATCACCCGGTTGTACGTGGTCGCGGTCTCGTTCTCGGCACCCCGACCGTCAGTTTCCCGTCCGTCTTCCGCCGGCAGACGGCCGTCCGCCGAGCCGTCCGACGCCGAAGCCACCGACGCCCGTCGCCGGTCCGTCCGGGCATGAGGTGGCCGTTCGGACGCGTCCTCTTGGCTGTTGCCCGACTCATCCTCCTCCATGATCACGGCACTGTCGCTGTCGTCCACGTTGCCGTCGTCGGACGTCGGACCTCCGCCTCCGTCTCCGCCGCCGCCACAGCATCCGGACACCGGCGCGGTCACGCCGAAGTCGGCGAGCCTGGAGTGCAGGCACCTGATGGCGTGCTGTTGCCGCTCGATGACCGCCTCTCGCTGGTCAAGCAGCTCGCCGATGGTCCGCTGCTTGCGGCTCAGCCGAGACTCAAACAGTAGCAGGTCCGAAGTCAACGACTCCAGCCGAGACCCGTACTCCGAACTCATCTGCACCAGCCGTTCTTCCTGCGAACAACAACGGAAGAAGAATTTAATTTCGAGAAAAAAAAAATAATTGTATTTCTTTGATTAACACACGGGTAATAATATTGCGTGAAGAATATAGACACTCCTGACTTGGAAGTATTATAATAATATTATATTATATGTCATTATAATATTCTTACGCATGAGCCGTAATGAGTTTCATACTATAATACCAGTGTCAATTCCTCGAAGAACTCGTTCCTGTTGTGAACGAGGAATTTTTCGGCGATGTCTCCTTACATTTTTGGTGTGTTATTTCAGAAAAATAGTCAATTTATATCTTTTTATGTCTTGTAGGTGAAATGGGGCACCTGTGTTTTATATCATACCTATAAATTTAAAATCTAACCCTGACGACCTCGATTTAAGTGTACCTATGACTACAATGGTGGTCAAAACGAATCCCGCTTGATCTTTGATTTTTTTCAATGATTATGTTATTGTAACCATAAATTATATTTTCAACGATTAAATAGTGCAAGTAAAATATCATGCAGACACATCTCTCCGCCTATTACAAATATTTGACCGTCAATGACCTATATTATCTTAAATTATTATAAACTTGCTTGACATAATATATTATCTTTAGAATCGCTCCAAAAAGTCATCCTAATCTCATATTATGTTTTTTTTTCTTATATTACACGAGTACCTATATAACTATACAAGTTAAATTCAAACATACTATGAACAATATTTTAATATTATATGCACAAAATTTATAATTTTCCCGATTAATTTTTGGAAACTTGCACACTACTACTCGCGCACGTGCGTGTGTGTGTTGTTTGCCTTAAAAAAAAATGTTCTATTAATCCGTTACAAATCGGTGTTTATATAGTAATGTGGATTTTAGAAGGTTCTAATGAAATAATGCGTTAAACGATTTACCGGTCTAGTGGCGTCGTATCGTGATAGTTAAACACATACGAGTGAAAAGTAAATACCAAATATTATTATAAATTGAGTTTTCGCTGTACCATTAAAACCATGTGATAATTATTGTATACACGTGTAATGTGTTTTAATGTACATATTATATGGGTGTAGTATTATTATATCAATCATCAGCGAAACTTCTCTCTGAGCACATATTTTTAGTTTTACGACCACGTACCTACCTATATCGAATTATTATTATAGCTCTCCGATTGCGACGAAATAATCACTATTTTCCTATACGAAACCCGTAACGTTTGGTATTTATCAATCGTAATAATAATACCTATATCATTCCACCGCGGCTGTTACGTGACCCGTTCAAGAAGGTTGTTTAGGTGCAGCATCAAGGAAATCGTTATCATTACGCGGTTTGTATATTTTATTTGTGTATAAGATTACCGTTTGTCGTTTCGAGAGAATCTTCTTTTTATTCTATAATATTATTATGTTTGTGTTGTACGCTTCTGACTCGTCCGCTCGTTATATAAGAACATATTATTAGTATTTCGCAAAAAAAAAAAAAAGAACGGTTATAATAATAAATAATACCTTATTGTTTAAAACATGTTAGAAAACAGGAAACCCACGGACGCATTTTAAAAGTAAATCAAGTCGATTTGTGATATATCCAAGTTAGGTAATGCGCGTAATAAACGGGATTATAAACGACAGCATAAGGTATTAGGATGAAATGGAAAAAAAAATTAAATTAACGAGATAAGAGAAAACCAATGTGTAAGTCGTCACCGCCAAATGATGACAGATCGGGGTAGAGGGGAAAATAATCGAAGAAAACGCCATAAATTGAAATAACATATTATTACGAAAAAAGGAAATGCAATGCACAGACGTACCTATATATACCAGCACTTAGCAGTGATGCAGTCGGATCGACACGATAATTAGTATCATTATTATTATTAACAACAACTAAAGATTTCCCGTTATTTCCCTCAGCCGATTTTGAAGATTTTTTTTTCTACATCGACCCGGAAAAGCGCGGGTAACGAATCCGAATTACGTTTCGAACAGAGTTATTTTTTTGTTGTTTTCTTCTTCGTTTTCTTTTGTTCATCAGTAGGTGTGTGCGGGTTTTTAACGGGACATCGTCGTTGGCCACCGTTTCGGTTCGCATAGTACTTGGTGTTTACGACCTACACTTGCTACTTAGGTACATATTATATATGTGTATAGTTTCAGAATACAAAATAGTAATTCGAGTTTGACGGATTCGTATATTATAAAAAACGTGCGCGGCGAGTAATTACGGCTAATAATAATAATATAATAAATATAATGATAATAATATAATATGCATTAAGTGTATAAGACCGTTGCATGTTAAACTGTTAAACGATTTTGTAATTTTTCTATTCCGGGTGTACGAGTGATTTTTTTCTTACTAAATCTGAGATAATACTTATCATCACAACTAGTTGCAATACCGACCATAATAACGAATATTTTCACCGTTATGCGGCTATTATAGTAATATAATTATAGCCAATACAATATTAAACGATTAGTAAAAAAATAAAATAAACAATTTGGATTAAAACCTTGTTTTTATCGAGCACGAGAACATATTAATAAAAAAATAGCTGCAGCTGCAATCAAACTGCATTCGTTGCGGAACTGCAATAATAACATTATGCTAATCAATCGCTAATAACAACATATGATTATCGATCAATAATATTAATATTATTACTGCAGGTACAAGTGGTATATAATAATACCAGAGTATCGGTACACCTTCGAGCGGCGCTTATCCTCATATTCGTATATTATTATAATAGACGCCTACGATTTTCGCGACGACCTCGGGAGTGGGCACGATTTTTACACGACTTGAGAGTTGTTGGTATTATAATAATAATAATAATAATAATGTGGCGCCCGCCTTGAACTTGTCGCGGTGGAGGTTAAACGCTCGCGCTCGGCGATGGCGCATTTCACTCGACGGACACCTGCACAGTGGTCCGTAAAGTGATTGCTACGACTGCGGTGTGAGCCAAAAAAAATAAAAAAATTGGTAACATTTCCAGTCTTAAATAAACATAACATTGTGTTCGATATAATAATATATTATTGTTTGTAATACGGAATAGGGTCGTGGAGAAACTCCGGAATTACAGCCATGAATATTGCGATTGCAGGTCGAACGTGACGGTGGCGGTTGGATTGTATTAAAATATTTATTTTTATTTTTATTGAATAATTAATATTCGATCCGGATCTAAATTATAACTTCCGACTATCGTGTTGTAAATAATAGTGTAATAATAGGAAATATTACAACAATGAGCTGTTTATCATTATATTAAATCAAATTATTGCAGCGACGGGAAATCAAAGAATAATACCCAATAACTTCAGAACGGCAAAACAATGATAATTATTGTTCTGATAACACCGGAAAATTAATAAAAGCCAATGTAGGACTTAATTTGGAATTGAACCAAAAATTGGACCGTCTGAGACGAATTTGCATGGAAGTATGTTACAATCAAAATTCAGACTGAGAATGATACTTAAAGGAGTTGATAAAACCGATATATAAGTGAAACTATGTAGTATTATGGGGAAAAAAAGGAAGAATGCTTAAATAGTAAAGAACTTATCGACTGTATATTATAATGTAAAATTGTAGACTGTAGTTGCCGTTTAATAAAGATAGTTCCTACGGTTAGAAAAATGTATATTTGCGGTCCATATTATAATTTTATACTAAAGTTAAAAAAAATATAATATATAAATAAGAATAATAATTAATTGTCTTTAATTTCCTGTTGGCTATTATAAAATTTAATTAAATATAATAATTGACGATACGTTTATGCCATAATTTGTATAATATGACGTATTAAATATTATTATAAATACTTAAATATCTATAATACTATAATTATAGGTACCTACATTACTAATTGTTGTTTGAAATGAAATATAAATTAAAAATCAGTTTACTAAAAATCGATTTTTCATATCAAAGTGTTTCAAAGAGCTTAACCAATGTGTGGTATCTTATCTTTTTGCAATAAACCTATTGATACAAAAATCCTGACTGACTAATTTGCACAAAAACTTAACTCCAAAACGACCTGTCCATAGGGGCTATGGCGTATTGTACATCATTATAAAAACCTAACTGTCCCGAGAAAAAATATTATAATAATCACGTTCAGCAAGTCATTCGGGTAAAATATTTTTACTGATATTATATCGATGACGTGCTGCCGCGATTATACTTTAGAGACCACTGTGCAGTGGTGGCGGTGTATATTGTGCGCGGGAGATGTGAGCATTTTTATCCGGTGACTGTTATTATAATAATATGTACGCGGTCGACCTTATACACAAAACGCCGCGAGATATTATGTCGAACGGGAAATCAACTCGCCAAGTAAAAACGATAATAATTTCTAATGTCCACACAGCGTGTTTTCGATCAGTCGTCCGAGCTCCACCTCACAACTAGTGACTGTGCAGGTGTCATAAAGTCGAGCACAGCTGATACCGTTTCGTTTAACGATCGAAAGTGTTGGTCTGCACAGTGTCAAGGGTGGAGTCACGGTGACGACAAGCTCAAAGTGTCCCCTTGAGATAAAATATCAATGGTTATAAACTTATAATATTCCAAGTTTAACCGCACCTCAGATTTACTTTTTATGATCTCCAGACTTCACCGTATCGTAGGAACGCTATTATTATATACCTATGCGTTTTTCGACCGGTCACGAGACACGTAACAATTAATGCGTATATCGATTGTGCCTCGACCAGTTTTTTTGAGTATTTGTATAATAGTGTATACAATATTATTATATTACCACGTGTACATAAATATTATACACAAAACGAGCTTTATTGAAATAATATTACGTATTGGGTCAAATTTCTATGGTGTTTGAAAAAAACAATAATATGTAATCTCTCATATGTAAAAACCTAATCGATAAACCCGCCGGCTGATATCGAATACCGTCTACGTCAAAAAACCGTAAACGAGAATCCGAAATATTATAAATGTATATTAATACAGCGGTGGACTTCCACTATATCCAAGAGACAAGTATAGGTACCTGCGACAGCTCTTTCCGATTAAATATCTTGTCAGATTATCATAATAATTAATGATATTACGATAAAATCCGTACCTGCATTTTGGCTTTTTTCCGCCACAACAGCGTCTGATGAGTCTGGAACCGGCATCTGTCTCTCAGCTGTTTTATCACGGCCCGAGCCTGTTCGATGGTCAGCACCTCCTCTTCGTCGTGGGCGTCATTACATTTTCCGTCTTCACGGTGCTGCTTTTCCTGCTGCTGCTGCTCCCGCCGCCGCCTCCGCGGAGACCCGTCGTCCGGGACCGCGGGCTGCGGAAATTCGTCCAGTACCTCTGCGGCGCCCATTCTGGAACGAAACCACGAAAAAATGATAAGACACAAACGTTTTAAGACCTGTGCGGTCGATCGCGCGCACATCATATTATAATATTATTATAGCAATGATTGCATGTAGTTGTTGCGGCGATGTTCTAAACGGCTGTTCGAGCATGAGACGACCGCCGCCGCGCCGTGCGCATGCCGTCATCGCATACATATTGTACTCGGCTATAGGGTATAATGGTATTATTGTAATAGTCTACATATTATTATTATTATTATTATTACTATTATTATCACTGGATCGCGTTTAAGCGGACGACTCGGTAACAGCCGACGACACTCGCTATAATCGATAAGCCGCAATGCAGTGTCGTACGACCTACGACCACGTCTCGTCGAATTAGCGAGCGGGCGCGCGCGCGCGCGTTCTCAGACAAACCTCTTTTTACGGTTTTCTCGTATACGTAAGTGACGTAACGCGGTTAAACGCGTGCTAGCGTATCGTGATTACACTATAATGTTATTACTTGTTATAGGCACAGCTCAGAAGTATATCGTAATAATATTATACGTCTTTATCGGGGCATGTTGCACGGCTCGGCGAATCGTCACACTCAAATTCCAAGTCGATTTTTCGAGAATTTTTTTTATTTTTTTTTTGCTCAAATAGGAGTTATTCCTGTCCGTATAGTTCGTACCGCTGAGAACAGCTGATGTAATTTTACTACGCATAACTTATTTTTTTCAACGTGTTGTGATCGCTCATATTCTATACTTTTATAGTTTTCAAGATATTCCAAGCGGGTATAATGTCGATTTAATTTTCTGAACGATCGTGTAGCACTATAACGAGATTAACCTCTGATTTTACGTGACCCTTTATACATTTACTGCGATACAGTGGATAATGCAAAAAGCATAAGGGAAACTGTGGCAATGACCCGTTAAGACACCTCCTATATAGCATGGGATTTGTAGCCGCAAACATAATATGTGTAATCTCGCGTGTGCCACAAGAATAATATTTGTGTGCTTATTGATTTTAAAATAACGGATCATGTTAAAATTACATTCGAATAATTTTTGTTTCTTGCGGTTGTGTGATTATTAGCAAAATAACATGTGGATAATTTTGAATTTCATTGTGAACTTGGCTAGGAAATTTATTTTAGATGCGTTATTATTATTACTAGGAATTTCTACATCACATATTCACGTGCCCCACTTGCGTTAGAATTCAGACCCTTAAATATCAAACACTTTAAGATAGTACTCCATTGCTATAATAGTGCCATAAAAAATATAAACCCAAGTCATAATGACCATAAAAAACTAATTCTCTAATAGAATATAACGTTATGGATACAAATTTAAAAAAAAAAAATGGTTTTTTTTTCTTAATCCTTGTATTATTTTGTCACAAAACCAAACAAATCGATGGATAATATTATATAATAAGCAGTACCTAACCATAAACACTTGTATTAATAAGAAATTGTGAAATTTGAATTATACACTCACACTTAATCTGTGGTTGTGACTTGTGGTGTGTACCATATACATGTTGAGAACAGCAGCCACGATATTACTAAATACCTACTAATACAGTAATACTACAGTCACGCGTTCCCTGAAACTTGACTTATATAGTGGCTATATATAGTTATAATGTTATATACTCCAGTAACTCGACGTATGCATGCCCTATATCTTATCGATTAATTTATCAGTCGTTCCAGTGTTTTGAATTGGATTCCTATTGACTACCTATAGGTTTACAAAACGTCCTCAGGACGGTAAAATTTGGTTTCGTGCATTTTATATTTTCCAAGCGAAACGGTAATATTATTTTTGTGGTACATTTTTTTTTTTTTGTTCGCTTTCGACGTTTCTCCAGTAATGTTTTTTTCCACGTCGGTTTTTGGATCTAAATAAAACGCCGACGATTATTATAATCGAATTCCATCGGTGGCGCGGCAATTCGTCGTAATAGTGCATTGCGCTTATTATTATTCTTTTTTTTTTTTTTACCACGGCATTGGAACCAACCGAAACAATCTATACTAATGGTGCGCACAAAACGAAAAGAAAAAACCATCCCGCCTTCATGGTATAATGTGTACAAAACAGGAATTCTTTTTCGACCGTCCAAATTACTGGGACTATTTTTTATACACACACACGTAGGTACATAGTATTAATAGTATTATTTTTCGTATTGGACGAACGATCGTCTGTATAATATTATTATGTTATATCGTAGAGAGAATTTTTCATTGTCGTCGTTTCAAGGTCGCGGTGGACGGCACACATATTATATTATATTATTTTATAATAATATCACTATATAATACATAATAGTACACACCACTTTCAAAGCCGCACTCGTCGCGCAGTCATTATATAACCCCGCGATATTGGCTTTGGAAGTCTGATGGAAATCGACGTGTCACGTCCACCGCGCTGTAAGAAAACGCGCACTCGTCTGTCGGACTGCGCAACCACGTAATACTATATTATTGTACAGCCATATAGAACAGGAAAATCGATATCGACTCACGCGATACAATATTATAGCATGTGTTATAGGTAGTCAGGTATAGATATTATTAGGGTTTGGATTTGAAGGCGATACATAAATAACAAACAAAGCACTTAAAATGTGAAAAAAAAACGGCAAACTATATTATACAGGGTGAGTCGCAAAATATGGTCACCCACGTTTTTCCATTTAATAACGAATTGATTCAATTTATGATTTTTGGAATTTTTAAATATATATAAAGACTATATTTTCAAATTCGTGAAATTTCTTGTGACACTTAAGGAGTGTCCTGTGGCCTGGGGCAATACAAACTTCTGTTTTTAAAATGGGAACTCCTACTTTTACTGTAAATTATTTAGTTATTAGTTTTGAAAAAAAATGTTTATATATACCTAATTAAAAATTCGAACGAGTAGTTCCTAGATATTAAAATGTTTATAGGTTTTAACAATTATGTAATTCTTAAAAATAGCCTTATAAAAATATTAAATAAATGCAATATTGGGGGTCTAATATTTATTATACTCTGACCATTTTCATCATAATCATAGACCTGTTATCCTTGGTACATAAAGTTTAATAACTCAAAAACTACTCGTTCGAATTTTAATTTGGATACATCAACGTTTTCAGAAAAAATATCCTCTAAATAAAAGGAGGGTTAGAGGTTGTCATTTGAAAAAATCAGAAGTTTATATCTCCACAGTATATTCCTTAAGTAGTACAAAAAAATAATTATAATATTTACGACTTAGGAATTTCGCACGTGAACGTATGCTGTCATATTGGGTCACACATTAAATGACAGTTCGATGGTCTAGTATTAAAAGGTCCTAATCCTAAATATTTGTATTAAATTGTTCACAAAATATGTATAGGTACGTCTGTTTGAAAATGATCGTTACTCAGCTATCTAGAGGTTGTTACTCGTACACATATACCTATTGTAATTGTTATAAAATATGATATAAGGTATTATTTAGTTGGAAAAAAACACCTTGTAAAATAATATAACAAAATACGAATACAAAAATAATAAATTATTTTCGAGGAAAAATATATAGGACTGGGGAAGAGATTGTGTGCTAGGCCCTCGAGTGATATCGACTCGAGTAATATACGAATATTATAATTTATTATAGTATCTATACTCTATAGGTACAACGTACCTGCAGTGTTCTACTATTTTGCTTTTTGCATCTAAAACGGACGGTCGTGGATCACGAATTTCAGTCTTTCGAACACGTCGGCCCCGCAGAGTGCGTACAATAATAATATTATCGTCGTGCGGGCACACCACGGCAACAAACGGATCGGAATATATATGAAATTTTCATATATATATATATATATAATATATTATATAGGTACATACGTAAACTGTGAATGAGTATAGAATATATTATATTTAGGTCAAGACGGACACGCCAGGCCGGACATTAACGACTTGATATTTAAATCGATGCGACCATCAAGACGTCAAGTGTGTCTAAATACATATATAATATGTACGTTTATCTATGATATGTATAACGCAGGTATTATATTATTATTATAATATTATACACTTACGCGTAAACAAATATAGCGGTGCTTAAAACATAAATGCGTCAATATGATTTACGATTTGACGATCGTGCCTGCGAGGAGAAGTAAAACGAAGATGCCTATAACAGCGGAATAATACGCGAACTCGGTCGTAGTAGGTATACCTATTTAATAATATTTTATTATTTTCGTGCGCATTTGCCTTCCGGCCCTGTAAAGGTACACGATTTTCCGTCTTCCGATATAAAACACGTAGGTAGGACCGGAAGTACCTGTTGTACTATATATTATTAAAATCTTTTTTTAAATGTCCCAATGTCCCGTATGACATTATATTATTATTATTATTATTATTATTATTATGGTGTAATGCAGGCATCAGTTGTAAGTGAGTTGTTGTGTAGCAACAATCGGCAAATTAATGATTATTCTACCCGAAAACCCATTCGATTAATAATAATAATAATAATATGATTCCGTGTATTATATCGATTTAATGTCGCGTATTATATTATTGTATTACGTAACACTTTAGCTGGTCCATATGCCTACACGCGTGCGCAGACGCCACCACATAATAATATTATTATGTCCGATTGCCGGATTGCATAAAACTCGAAATACGCTGCGTGTCCGCAATATTATTATTCGAAAAAAAATACATTTGTATTATGTTTCACACACATTGTATTGCGTAATATTCGATTTGGCGCCACGATTAGATTTTACCATTGTGAACTTACTTATAAGTTGTATTATGTTTTAACATTTAACGAATTAAATGTACAATAATATTAATAAACATTATTATTACTTGCGGTTTCGCCACAGTTTATTGTAATAACACCATTAGCGTTACAAAATATTTTAGAGATTTTAATTTGACATTTTGTTATTTATGTGGTATCTACTTGTTAATAGTGTTTGACAAAAAAAATGAAATTATTTTTTTTATTCATAAAAAAAGAATCTAATTATATAAAAACATTGTGGTGCTAAAAAA